TAAAAAAAAAAAGGGAAATGTAAAATGAAATGGAAAATGTAAAAAAAAAACGGGGAATACTTACCTATAATTCTTTCTTGATCTAACTTATCACAGTATAATTGAAATAATAAAAATATAAAAGGAAAAAGGAGAAGAAAAAAAAGGAAATTTTTTTTTTTTTTTTAAAAATTTTTGAATAAAAAGGAAAAATGAAAAATGAAAAAGGAAAAAAATGGAAAAATTTAAAAAAAAAAAAAATGGAGAGAGAGGCTTTTTCATTACTTTCTTTTGATCGCATTAAAATATTAAAGAACACTTTGCGTAATGAATACTAATTATTTTTTTAAATAATAACTCATATTTAATTGTACCATTCTTTTAACATACTTGGGAGGGAACTATAAAAATTGGATATTTTACGTTATCATACTTTAAGACGTTTTAGACGCGTCTTTACTAATCTCATTCTAATTACCCTTAAATATAGGACCACTAAATTAAAATAAATTGTATATAATAATAAAATCTGTACAAAATTTATATGTCTAAAAAAAAAGGGCGAGAGATATAAGGGAAGATGGTACAAAAGGAAAATTATTATTACTAAAAGAACTATTTGCCTCTATTGGCTTCTACCATTTACTGACTAAAAATATTTTTTTTTATTTTTGTATATATTATATAGAAAATGAAATAAGAAATGCGTATTAGATTGTTTTTAGTGGAAAAAAAATATATAGTTAAATGAATAAAAAGGGGAAAAAAGGTGGTATTTATAATATAAGATATATGTTGATGCAAAAAATAATTACACAAAGGCCATATATACGAAATATTACTACATTAAAATGTTTATTATACTTATTATGTTATATACTAATATAATGTGGTGGAATAATACGCGATTGAATAAACAATGAATCGACTTTAATCCGTAAATAATAATATAATTTCTACAAGTTCGGTTATCAAATCTAAAAAGAATTTTTTGCGGTTAATTAAAATTCCTGATATATCAAAAAGGATTCAATAATATTACGCGTTAACTTACCAATTTAATTATTATATCCATCAATTCGTATATTCTCACCAATACAGATTTAATCGAACCATGGACGACCTTCACCCATAGCCCAACCAGCAATTAAATCTTTAACTTTGAGTTCTTCAATGTCAAGTTCACCTTGATCGCGTTGCCAATCTTCATATGTTTGCCGGGTAGGCCATTCTGATGATGATCTCGGGCTATAATCGGATGGTCCAGCTGTATTTAATTCAAAGATGATAAAAAAGATAAGTACGAATAATATAATATATTTTTTTTAAGTAAAAAGAGAATATTTTTCAAATGCGTACCACTGATTAATTCCTCCGAGTGTTGAGATAATCTTCGTTTATGTACAGGTGGTCTAAACAAAGCGTTACAAGTGAGAGGTTGTTGATATGGATTAGGATGAACAAATTCATCCGTTGTATCATCATCCTCATCATCTTCCCTCTCATAATTATTATAATAAGTGGGTAAATTTGTATCTTTTTGAACGAATATACCTTTTAAAAAAAAAACAAGACAAAGTTAATGAGATGAATCACGTGAGATTGATAATGATTCGCGTAATTCACTTACTTTCTACTTTATCCCAAGCTCTTCGGAAAAAGCTCCGATTAGAATATGATTGTATTGTTGGTTGAACAATATTATTGACGTTCGATGACGATGAAGATTCTAATTGAGAAGCGGAAATATCAACAATATCTCGTCGTTCATTATTTGGTTGAGAAGTAACAGCAGCAACGTAAGCTTGAACTATGGTTTCAATTGGATTTGCCATAATTCTTAACGTGGGACTAATATAAAAATTTTATAAATTTATTTAAATTTTTTTGAAATTTTTTTGAAATTTTTTGAATAATATATAATCCAGTATATACTGTGAAAGAATTAGTTTGTAAAAAAAAACAAGAAAGAAAGAAGTAAAAAGAAACTTTGTGATTTTCTATTTACACGAGAAGATGGAACCAAAGAGATTATAAAAGTTTTTGTTAGAACAAGAGCGAAAATATCTTTTTTAGTACACTTTTTTATCTTATTAAATATAAAATACAAAAAGGGAATAATAATATATGATAAAAATATAATATGTGATTATTCTTTCACGGGTCTATTTATTTATTTACAAAGAGTAGTTATCCGTAAAAGAGTAAAAAAAAAAAAAATTAAAGAATGCTATAAAAATGAATAAAAAAAAAATAAAATAATAGAATAGACGACGTGTATATATATAAAAAAAAACGAAAAAAAAAGCGAAAAAAAAGACAATCGTTGAAAAATGCACAAACGGGTAAATTTCTTACTTACCCTTTTATTTATAAAATCAGGTTATTTTATTATTATAAATAAACATATAATAAAAATGTGCGTAATTTAATAATTACGGGGGGTAAAAAATACATTAAACTCTAATTGGTATATTATTTATTTATATATATATATATGATATAAATGAATAAGAAAAAAAATGGGGCGGGGTGATTGCCAAAACTTTGTCAAACAAACCACTACATTTCAACTTATCTTTGATTGATCAGTAAAGTTCGGTTAACTTGATTGACTTTGACCGTAATATAAAAAAAAAACTATTTTTATACTTGGTTAGTAGTATCACCGATAGTGAAGTAATTTTCGGGTATATCAAGAGTTGCAAAAAAAAAAAAAAAATTACGAAATTGCGAAATTATAAAAAAAATTTATACTATTACAAAACCCATAAACGGGAAATTATTTAGGTCACTGCCGCGTATTTTTTTTTTTTTTTCTTTAAATTTGTAGGACGTGTATAAACAAACATTTATATTAACTACCGGTATATAAAAAAAAAAATTTTTTTTTTTTTCTTAAATAAAAAGGGAATTTTTAATGAATAAAGAAGAATCGATTTTAAAACAATTAGTATTAATTAAATTTTGCATTAAAAAGACAATAGTACAATTGATTTAAATACATATACTTTGTTATCTTTCTTGTAATTGTTTATCTTATTTGAATAAGTAATATAATTAAATCTGTTCGTTAAGAAATCGATGTAAAACCAAGAGATAAGGAGAAAGGAGAAAATGTAAGGAAAGTTATAGAATGTTTCCTAAACAAGAACATCAATCAGCCCATCATTTTTTGTTAAGAAAGACTTTTCTTCTTTGGTTAACATTACGCCAAAATGCACCTAACGAATTACACGATATGAGCAATTTATGTAATTTATGTAATTTATGTACTGTAAAGTAATCTAATAATCTAATCAATTAAATGTAATGTACGTTCGCCTTGACTTTGCACTTTCGGAAGTAAAAAAAAATATCTGCTTTGAGAAAATAATTAATGCGATGCGTTAATAAGTATTCATTGGCTAATTGAAAATTTTCCGTTTGGTTATCTTTCCTCGTTTGCTTATATGTTTTCTATTGTTGTAATAAATAAATATATGAAATTATGAACTCCCAGGTAAAACAAATCAAGTTAAAAAAATTTCTTTTATTTCATATTCATATGTATTAGTTTTTTTTTTGTTGGGGCGTTGGGGAAAGAAAAAAAGTAGAAATTACTACGTACAATACCGAATAAGAAAGACATGAACTTAATAAACTTTAAATATATCTATTTATATAATATAATATATACTGAGTATATAACGTATATATATATATATGTACATGTATTATTGTATTATATATATATATCTTTTACATTATAAATAATATATATATATATGCACAGCATTTATTTATTTATTATGTCATATATATATATATTATATATATATATTATTATGATTATACAAAATTTGATTTTTATGCGTGATGAGGCTTAATGATTTTTCTTTTAAAAGATTAAACCATTTCTTTTTCAAATAAAAATGATTTTTTACTGTATTGCCACGTTTACTAACATTCAAATTTCAAGAGATAATTGTATTTCTGTGACCTAATATCTAATATTATTCACATGATACTAAAAATAAATAAATAATGATTGGTCCGTAATATCAACAACAGCTGTCAGGAGTACCTTATATGTTACATTTATTTATTTATTCAATAGAAAAAAAAAAAAATATTTCGAAATGATTTTTTTTTGTGTAGAATTTCCCTTAACTTTGATAATTTACAATCTCGTGTTATTACTGTGTTGTTTGTATCTTAAAGAATTAAAAAAGGATACTTTGAAACGAAACAACGAAAAGGCTGTTAAATTTGGTAAAAGAAACGCCAGACGCCAGATTAACGATCCTTATCAATCTAATTGTTACTTTAAAAAAAAAAAACGCGCTATTTTACAATTTTGAATAAATGAATGAAACCATTAATATGGTAAATTAAAGAATATCAAGCAAAAAAATCAGGTAAATACCGCAATTATTAAAATAATTATTAATATTAATAATATTTATATTTCATGATATTCCGAACTTTATTGTTTTACAAGATCGTGATTCAATGATTTCATGGAACCCTGATTTTCCTAATTTAATAATTATTCTTGAAATGAAACCTGTATTTTTCTCTCTTTTTTTTTTTTCGTTTATTTCAAACTTGAAAGCCACATTATCTTTATTGTACAAGCCTTCTGATTTTCAGTTTCAGTAGTTTCATTTTAGAACCAATATATTTTTATCTGTAAATTTCCATTAAAAGTCATGATTTGCTTAGCTATAAATGCCACGATGCTACATGGACACTCAATTGACACATAAGATTGTGTTACAGAAAATTTCCAAAATTATACATTAAATGTTCCGTATATTTATTATTGTATATTCAATCGGATAAACTTTTTTAATGATCCAATGATTTTGATTTTAACTAACTAAATTCAACTAACAAAAGTAATAACCGAAAATTAAAAAAAAAACTCCGATTTCTTACAAGTTTGTAATGTACATGTATAAGTAGTTAAATGTCAATTAACAAAATATCTTTGTTATTATTTTTTCCTCTTTCATTACTTTTTGTGGAAATTTTGTTATAAAGAATTTTTTTCGTTATGCCTTATTTTCGATTCATTACATGTAAGAAAAACCTTAATTCCCAAAGAAATCATAAAAAGGAAATATAATTATGTTTCGTATTAACTTTCATTGGCTAATATTTGTATTTGTTTATTGGCTAATATTGTTATCAATTATTAATAGTAATAATAATATCGACATATCGACATTAGCACAATCTTTCTGTATCAATAAGTACAAATAAAGTGGTTATCGCTAATCTAACTTTATCTTTTTCAATGGGTTTAAATCTTAAAAATTATATAATACCTGGTTTTTTTTTTCGCGCGATTTCGAATATTCTTAAAAAAAAAAAAAATTTTTATATATTTTCACAAGATTGTGTAATTATTTTTTTTAAGGTTCAGTTTTATTCCTATACTATAAAATATTGGGGAAAAAATTACTTTTATGAAAACCATTTTTAAAATAATTCTTTTTATTGTTGTTATTGTTGAAAAATAACTTCTTGTTTCACTAAATCGTAATATTTTCTATATTAGTTAAGTTTACGTTGATATTATGATATTATGAGGAAGGATAAACAAATTATTAAAAAATTTAAAAATATTTAAAAAAAATTCACACCATAGTTTTAATCATGAAAAACTTTTACCTCATTATCACCTATTGTTTTTGAAATCAACTTTCCTTTTTTCAGATATCGCCGATTTTGTAACATCTAAATTTAGATGACTTCTTCGTATACTAATATGGGAACTTCTTTTATAGTATCATAATGATTTTATAAATGTGAAAATAGATCATGCCTTAATTCTTATCATCGAACTACTTCGAACTTCGAAGCAGTTCAGAATCCCTAAAAGATCTTAAATTATACTTTACTATTCTAAAACATATAATAAAAAAAAATTAATATTTTATAATAACTTATAATAGTTAATAATAATAATTGAGTAATAAGTAAATTAGTTTATTTAAATATTTATTAATTCATATAAATAGTAATTTATTATTATTATTATTATTTTCTTTCTTAATTATAATAAATACTTTGGTTAATAATATTTTATATTTTAAACTATTATTAAAAATTACTCTTGAAGTATATTAAAAATAAGAAATATAAAAAAGAAATTTATAATTTAAAATTTACAATTATATTTTTGCAATATTATAATAATAATTATTATTTATTTCATAAAAAGTTGGAAATAATAGGAAAAAAATCCTAATATTTCCTTCTTATGAAATAAATGGATATTAAATATTAACTATTTTAAACTTAACGATTTTAAAATAAAATTAGTAATTTTCTGACTATTTATATTTATATAATAAGGCTGAAAAATAAATAAATGAAGATTCCTAATTATTTATAAATTCAGCTAATTATTTACAAATTTTAAAAAATCAGTATAAAAGTATTAAAAAAAGTAAAAATAAATTAATTAATATTATTTTATATTATTTTTTTTTTATTTTAATTATTAATATTCTAATAATTATACTATAAATTCAAAATTTTTTTAATTTTAGAAATTTTTTTTTTGAAAAATAATATTTTATATTGTATAATTTATATATTTAAAAAAAGATATAAATAAATAAAAAATCTGTAAATATAAATATAATAAAAATAAATTAATTATAAATATTATTTTTTAAAAATATATGATAAAAAAAATAGAAAATTTTTAATTTTAACTAAAAGACAAATTCCTAACATGACAAATAAGAAGTGACAAATAGGATTTTAATAATAAACCATTTTCAAATTTCCAAATTAATTAACAAAATAAAAAATATAATAGGAATATGATATATTATAATAAATAAATCTAATCTCTAATCTAATCCTAATTTTAACTTCTAAATTCTAATTAATAAATATTAAGGAAAAGAATTTCCCTTTAATAAACATAATTATTTTTAAAAAAATAATATAATTTAAAATTTTTTTTTATAATCTAAGATCCAAGTATTTCTTTTCTCTTTGATAATATTATATATTTCATTTTTTTTTTATAATTAAAATTCTAAAAATTAAATACAAGTGCCGCTCGTTATAATGATACGTCCGGGATCAGAGATTTTTGTCATTATAACAAGATGTCATTATAACAAGCTTTTTTTTTTATAATGACATACAGTCAACTCCCTCTATAGTCACTCCCGTTATAGTCACATTCTACTATATAGTCACACCAGTTGAATGTTCAAAACACTTTATTATTAAAATCTATCCTATATAGTCACAATCTATCTATAGTCACTATCACACCTATCCTCAAAAATCTTATATTAAAAAGAACCGTTTATAATCACAGTTATATAAAGAATATATTAAATAACTTATAACTTGGCATCTAATAATCGTACAAAGATGTATCATAGCTTGTTAAAATCGTCTCACTGAGACAAATCGAATGGTGGTAGTTTTATTCTTTTCCTTTGCTAGTGTTTACGGCCAGACCACCCATTGCCACTTATGAGACTAATCTCGGGTCTGTGTCTTATCATCTTCAATGGGCAACCATTATACCGAGTACTTAATTCCTCAGGTAACAGCACCACTATAGAAGACATCCCCCATCGGGCAATTATAGGCTGATCTGAAGCTAAATACACGCCGCCTACTCATCCTATACCCATTGCATGATACTGATACTCAATTTATTTAACGACCTTTAGAGAGCATCTACTTTCATGGAAGACTTTCGACAGGTAACATCAACCATCTAGTACCCTTCCATACCATCATTTTAAGTACTAAGTCTCACTCAAAGGCCACTACAGCCTGCGATTACCTAGCACCGATAGTACAGTTGTTTACCCCAAGTGGTATACTTTGTAGTGACCACTCGGACAGAAAGTAGCAGGCTTCTGTCCAGGATCACCCCTTATGGTGGGTATCAACCACCAGGGATCACCAACCAGGACCCAAGGAGTAGGGAATCGAACCCCATAGCCATGCTACCTGTTCTGTGCACGAACACCTTGGTTGGTCTAAGACCTAACAGAAGGTCTAACTACCACTAAGACATTGCACCCTCAGCTTTACCATCTAGGACGACCATCTAGCCATTACTGACCCCAAGCGGTATCGTAGAGTGACCACCCGGACAGGAAGTCCCCCCCAAGGTATAGTAGTGACCTCAAGGACAGGACTGCGCACATGCCAATGGCCTCATAGGGAACGTTAGAAGGACACCATGACCCTTAGTTGAAATGTGCGGCCTAACCGTACACACTAATTCACCATGATGCAGTCCAACTACACTAATCCCTGTACCTTCACGCTATTGGTTGTAGCGTCCGCAGTAAAATTCTTTTTATTTCCGTGGTCATGGGAATCGAACCTGCGACCTCACCAGACTCAGGCTTAATAAGGGTCTCAGTGACTAACCACCGAGATAGGGTGACCAACCCTAGTTTTATCCTTTTCCTGTGCAAACAGTCTTATGACTTTATCTTTTATTTATACTTTGGACTTCGAAAAATAATCGAACAATATTACAAAAATAAGAAAATAAACTAATAAAAAATAAAAAGAGTAGCTTCACGACTCATACAAGTAAAGAAATCTAAACTAAAATAAAATTAAAGCAAAGAAAAACTGAACTATTACAGAATCGCATACCCCAACTTTACCCGAAGGCCAGTGTGAGTCAACTATCCAACATCCAAAAATCCAGTCCGTTACCAGAAAGAAATCCTAAGAGGTTGAACTGTTAAGCGGCGCAGAAAATCCAAGTGCGAGATCCAAGATCCACCCCGAATTATAGAAGAGGATATCCAAGAAATCCAGGAATCCTGAGAAACTGACGCCAAAGAAGAGTTGTGTTGTTGTGGAGAAGTAGTATTAGGGAAAGAATTTGTAGATGGGCCACGTAATTTAGAAGCAGCCGAGATACCCTGCGACTCCTCCCAAGCATGGAAAAGAACATTCCGACACAGCCAAATTTCACCATATAATTCGACTTGGAAGTCATTAAGAAGGGGAGAAATAATCTTGTATATAATAGAGAGAGGAAAGTGTTGATTCAAAAATCACTAGCAAGCTAGTCGAATTAATCTTTAACCGAAGTTTTATGTGTAAATTCTGGCTGACATAAAATGTTGTAAAAATTTGTAATTCAATAAAGTAAATTCATCAATCGCTAAAGCGCTGTATATAAATTTCCGATACAGAATGATAAAATTTGTATTCATAAAGAGAAGGGAAATAGGAAAGCTTAAAATAAGCATGAAAGAAGTGAAAAAGGGAAGATAATTAAAAGAAAGTAAAAGAAAGTAATTAATTAAAAGGGAACTAGCGCAATTAGCGCATTAAGAAAGTAGGATGAACAAAATCAGCGGGTAAAACCCACTGTGATCGAAAATCAGAAGGAGCAGGGTAAGGATGTGAATCAAACCAAGGTGCACAAACATCCAATAATGATAAGATATCACAAGGTTTAACACGACCTAGTTTGAAAGAAAACCGTGTATCACTGTTCCAAAATTGTGAAAATGTTGAAGAGGAGGCCGATTTAGTGATAACAGATTGGATGGCATCGCGAAGATACTTATTTGATACCGAAGAAGTATTGTGCTTGGAAATTAATAACCAGAGGAAATTGTAAGAAGGTACATAAATGGAAGCACTATTCGAGAGTATCCTTCGGACAATATCAATAATGGAACGACTAAAGCCAAGAGTTTTGAAATCTTGATAATCAATAACAGGGCAGTTTGGACCAACAAAAGGACCAGAGGTGGGTTTGTTAGTAATAAAATGACTTGCAACTACAGAAGAGGGATTCAAAATCACTTTTTGGATAGAACCCGTAAACTTAGAAGAAA